TTACACCAGAGGAAAAAAAACACACACAGGAATAACGGAAAACGTATGATTTTTTTAAGGGAGAACTTTAATTAAGAGGCCAAAGGTTACCAAACACCCCAGCTACCACCTCTACCCCTGAGCAGTCAGTGTAATGATCATCACAACAAAGACATGGGAGGCAGTAGAGTGACCTTGACCTCTGACCTTTCCATACCCACAATCGATAGAGGATTTCTTTGCTAGTGAGTGACGTTTGGTGGTGATTGATGGATAGAAATTGGAATTGGGCAAATAAATTACATAAATAACGATAAATTACAAATAATATAAAATAAATCCAAATATATTATGAAGCGAAATATCATAGAAACTTATAAAAGGAAAAATAAAGGACAGTGGAAAATAAAATGAAGAATTAGCCGTGAAAAATAACGACTGATTAGAAAAAATTACTTTAAAATAAAATACATGGATGAATTTAACAAAACATCGATACAGAATAATGAATAAAATAAGTCACTTGAATTTAAATTGGATTAATGTAGGATAGACAATAATTTTCAGCACCTCCCCAATCTCCCCACCCTCCTATCCTCCCCACCCTCCTACCATCTCCACCCTCCTACCTTTCCTCCCCACCCTCTTACCATCCCCACCTACCCTCCTTCCCACCTACCTTTCCTCCCCACCCTCCTACCATCCCCACCTACCTTTCCTCCCCACCCTCTTACATCCCCACCTCCTTTCCTCCCCACCCTCCTACCATCCCCACCTACCTTTCTCCCCACCCTCCTATCCTCCCCAACTACCATCACCTCCCCACCCCTAACACCTCCTTCCCCAACTACCATCACCTCCCCACCTAACTAACACCTCCTTCCCCAACTACCACCTCCCTCCAACCTATCCTCTCCACCAATCACCTCCCCAACAGGAGACGATAAATGGCCAATCACATCATCTAGAAATGTCCCATAAGACGTGTATTGACATCCTGAGTGACGTAATGTGGCCAAGATGTAGGTGTGTGTGTGTGTGTGTGTGTGTGTGTGTGTGTGTGTGTGAGGAAAGGATTAGTCCCTGGCATTAGTTTATCCCGGTACAGACAAACTTTTACACAGGTTCATCTGAAAAAGTTTAGAGAAATGTTGTGTGTTTGGTTGCAGTGAGACGGATAATTTCACTGTAATGCTGTACTGTAGTTTGATACCTGTATTGCAATAAGAAGGGAATTTACTCAACACAAGCAAGATTCACCCCATAGGAATTCATCTCTAAATGGATAAAGACGCAACAAGAACCAAGGGGTATGTGTGAACGTGGGTGCATGTGTGTGTGGGGGGGGGTGAGGTGTGTGTGTGTGTGTGTGTGTGTGTGTGTGTGTGTGTGTGTGTGTGTGTGTGTGTGTGTGTGTGTGTGTGTGTGTGTGTGTGTGAGGTGTGTGTGAGGTGTGTGTGTGATAAAATAAGTCACTTAAGCGAGAATCTAGAATCAACAGTGTATAAAACATCATAGTGAAATTTACATGAACGTCCTGATAAGATTCCACTGCTTTAAAGGTTACAAGAAGTATTTTCATGTTTTCTTCGTCTCCTATTTGATTTTCAATTATCTCTATCTCTCTCTATCCATTTATTTATGTATGTATCATTACGAAGCTTGATATTGAATATGCTTGAGGATCCGACTGGTACCTGACCATCGACCCGTGTTTGGCTGCTGCACGACCACTGCTCCACCCCTGTTACTCGATATGTTCCGGACCTCAAGTCATGGATCATGGATACATTGGATGGCCCATAGCTTGGGCTCATGGTTAGGCTCTCCGGAGCTCCGTATCTGTGTTGTTCAGATCTCGAACGGAGTTGTAATGAAGCGGTGCACGAGGGAAGAGAACAGAGCATTCCAGGACGACACTAGGGTGTGGAGCTGTTGGTCGGTGGTCGGCGAAGCCGGTTGTGGTTGATAGCAAATTGTGTTACTCTGGCTTAGCATGTAATGTGAGTTTGTAATATTTTTGTACATTTCTATGTGGTAGGATTAGGGTGATTGTTAGAGTATTGTTTTATATTCATGTAACTGTTGTATGATTGTGGCGATTGTTAATGTTTGATTATTGCTGGTTGTTGGTGTTTGTCAATATATTATGCATTCCAACATTGCGTTTGCTACTCCTCTCCTATAGTGATGTAGAATACCTGAGTAAGACTGAATAGTACAGGAGCAATAGGCTAAGTAAACAAAGCGTTCGAGTCTGTGGGGGTCGGTAACCGCCCGGTTCCTGGTAAGGTGTCCAGCTCAGGAACAAAAGCTCGTAACAGTATGTATGTATGTATGTATGTATGTATGTATGTATGTATGTATGTATGTATGTATGTATCTATCTATCTATATTTATGTGAAATTTAAGTAAAAAATTATTCCCTATACCGAAATAACTTAAAACTAATATTATACCCAACATTAAGTCTACGGTTTTAACCCGCCGTGTTTAACTTATCCGGCCCTGTTGTGTGAATACAGTCTCCTGTACAGTATACAGTATTAAGAAAGATTATGGTGATTATGTTGAGCGTAAGAAATCTATTCGTTATGGTAAAACCTTAATAACTTTGCCTTTTATCGGCCATTTATAGATTATAATTCACATACGTGTATACCGAGTTATAAAGGTTAAAAATGCATAGACTATAAACGGCCAATATTGTCATGAGATAAGAATACCACTGGGAAATAAATCGGAGACATGGTCAAACATTAAATAAGGCAGTCCTTGGAAAGTTTTAAATTTAGCTACCCTGTATACATACGGAGTTAACTGACTACAGTCTCTTAAAAACACGACTTTAAGTCAGTGATCATATGTAAGAATTATATTTGTTGGATTTATGAAAGTATACCAATTAAAGAAAACGTAATCCCTCAGTTTTCTTTTTCTCCCTCTTGTCGTCTATGCTCGTTATCTCTCCCCTGTTAACTTTACTTATAATCTTAACTAGGAGGGTAAAATTTAATACTAACATACTTTACACTTATTTATTTACTTATAAGTTATGTATCCTGTAGTTATTTGTCATAATTAGTGTTAAGGCCTTAGGAAGGAAGTAAATCTTGGCATAACCATTTTGAGGGTCAGTGGAGGGAGGACTCGGGTACGAACTTATTTTAAGTACAAATATAACCTGAACATTAATTATTACCAATTACAGGAAATTGGCGATATATTTTGTTGAATTTTACGTTATTGTTGTTATAATGTATTAAGAGATTTAATACAGAAATACATAAAAAAACACACAATAAAAATGTATCTACAAATGTCAGTAATTCGTTCATGGTGGGGAGGCCAACATCCCGCCACACTGTCCGCTGTATCAATATTAGTAACGTGACATTAAAGGTATCGACAGTCGCTTTGATAACAAGGAAATGGAGGATATAACAACGACATCATAACACTATAATAATAATAATAATAATAAAGTCTCGTCAAGCCACTAATGAACTAATCCTGCCTTGTAAAAATAGCAACAGTACACGATGGATTAGTGCAAGTTACCGAGTGCTCATATTCAATATATCATTATAGGCCACGTTCAGGGCTTCTAGACGCCACAACTAAATTACGGTAATGAGTTTAAGACACCTGTGAATATATTTTGTTTCTTTTTTTTCGTATTTAGTTTTGTTACCATTACTGATGTCACCCCGAGCAACAGGTCTGACAAGGTAATTTTATTTCTTGGAAGTGCAATTTGTTTCTCTCTCTCTCTCTCTCTCTCTCTCTCTCTCTCTCTCTCTCTCTCAAATACGCAACACGAAAAACATTGAAAAATAAAGGTTTAGGTTAGGTTAGGGTTAGCATCAATATTTTTTTTAATAAATTGGTCAAGACTCACACAAAAAACCTGACTTGAAAATACAGTAATGCATTTAGTCTATGTTGTCACCTGTAGGAGGCAACGTCCCTCTGTCGCCCCTCTCCATCACCTATCCCCCCCGCCTTACCCATTACACAAACTGTAGAATTGTGTCACATGGTCATAAACATACAGTAATCATTATGAATCAACAGTTAGTTTACTCTCTAAATATAAATGATTGGTACATACATACAGATATAGACATACATACATACATGCAGTTAGACAGACATACACACACATACACTTAGTAGAAGGCAAAGATGACATATTTCATCACACCACAGCTGTCACCTATAACTGTGGCAACCCGGACTAGCTACGTTCATCAGGTCTCAGGTGTGTCTGTGAGAGAGGAAGGTAACGAAAGAAATGAAAACGAGCAAAAATTGGGAATTAAGAGTAAAAAAAAAAGGTATAACTGGTAAAAAAATCGGGTATCGTTAAAACTCGGGTATAACCAGTAAAAAAATCGGCTTTCGAGTCAAAGATCGAGTATAACTAGTAAAAAAATCTGCTATCGAGTAAAAAAATCGGGGATCACGAGTAAAAATATCGGGTATCAAGAGTAAAAATCGAGTAACATGAGTCAAAAATCGGTGAAACAGTCAGAAATCAGCACTGCATGAACGATATGGTTAAAAATCGGGAAATAAAATCGGTCCCTTATAAAATGCATGGTTAAAAAGTATAGGGTATAGGCCTATATAAAATAAGTATGATAAATCTGTTGAGGACGACGGTTTAACCCTTTGAGGTTAATGGTTTAACCCTTAGAGGACGATGGTTTAACTCCCGGGACTCAAAGGGTTAAATGTACCTGACCTGGTGACCTCACATACGGAAGGTCAACGACAACAAGATCTCGCTGGTGGTGTTGTTGTTTCCTCCTTCATAAACACTTTGATTTATTCACAATTAAAATAAATCAGTTTATAAGAGTAATTAATTTCTATATAACCAGTCAATAATTCATAAAAAAAAACATCTTCAAGAATAACTTTCCTGTTCAACACCCGAGTCACCAAAAAATATAATATGAAACAAAAATTCTCGAGATGTCAGGTAATGATATTTTCCGTCTTGGATGTCTACCTGTAAAGTGCTAGTACAGCCGAGTCACATAAACACTACCACACGGGACTACTGTTTATAACGTGTGAGGCGAGGGCGTCACAGAGAGCTTCACCACACCACACCACCACCACCATCCTCGCCACACACACACACTGCTGCTGCTTCTGCTTCTGGCCACACACTCCTCCCTCCCACCCTCTCTCTCTCACCTGTAGAGCTACTATTGATTATGTCTCTCTCCCCCCCTACTCCTCACTGCTCCTCCCTCCTCTCTCTCTCTCTCTCTGACTGTTCCCCACCCCACTCTCTCTGTCTCTCTGTCTGTCTGTCTGTCTGTCTGTCTGTCTATCTATCTCCGACTGTTCCCCCTCTCTCAATCTGTCTATATTTCTGTCTTTTGTCGACTCCTATCCCCCCCATATATATCATTAGGTTTGTGACTGTGAGCAGGTTTTCGTGTGGGTCTGTTTATGTGGACTGACTTAAACATCCCAAGTATTGTGTGTCCCTCACGCCTCCCTCCCCCAGGCACCGCCCCGTCCAGGTGTGTCATAACATAGACATCAGACAAATCACCTGACACCAACACAAGTCCTGAAGGTGTATAAAGGTCCCCCAACAGGTCAGGTGATGGTGGAGGTAGTGGTGGGTGTGGTGAGTGATGATGAGTGGTGGTGATGGGTGAAGGTGTTGGTGGTGGTGTTAGTGAGTGTTGGGGGAGATGACTGATGGTGGTGGTGGTGAGTGTTGGTGATGGATAAAGGTGTTGGTGGTGGTGGGTGAAGGAGTTGGTGGTGGTGGGTGAAGGAGTTGGTGGTGGTGGGTGAAGGAGTTGGTGGTGGTGGGTGCAGTTAGTGATCTTGGGTGAGTTTAATCGAGTTGATCTCTATTGGTTCAACCTAACCTAACCAGTGAACCAGAGAGATACCAACAGTGGAACCCTGAAATGGCTTCCTTATCTAAGAATGTCACTTAGGCAGCAGCACCGAGATATGAGAAATTTTACGACTTCCTGGCACATTTTACCCAAATATCTCAATACTTTAAAGAATAAGATAAATAAAATAATAATAATAAAATAGAGATACATGAAGAAATGTGAAAAATATAACATTTCACTATTCATTAAACGTAAAGTAAGTTTTTTGTAATCTAAAAAAAATATTGTTTAGTAATTTTCATGAGATCAACGTACAACAATGACTAACGCCTGCAGCACAAGAGCTACAGCACGGAAAGGCCTCGACCAAACCAAATACTGTTGTTGTTATAAACATTTTTGTATCTATATTACATAGACTTCAATCAAATGTTTAAATTTCAGTTTCCAATTTAAATTTCAGGAGAGTGGAAGGGACGTGTGTGGGTCCATAAACTTGCTACCTTGTTCGGTACATATCAAGGGACGGGGTCCGGATCCCCCCCCCCCTTTTCATCAGAATATTCCAATAATTTTTCTTTAATGCAGTATTGTACTCAGGCATTTTTGTATAGTAAAAAGTAATTACTATTGACCTCAGAATATCCCCCAATATCGAGTGCACCTGACTTCAAAACGGCCTCAAAATACCCATGATATTGGTGACATTTCCAAAAAATTATGGGGACCTACAGCCCCCCCACCAGTTGGATGGGCTCACTTTGCTTGCCATGTTCCCCTACCAAAAACTTCCTGGGTCCGCCCTTGTATATATGTATTGACTGTTTTTAGTGTGTTCAGTATAGCTGTAAGTCTGCTGCGTGCGGTCACTTTATCGGAGGGTACGCTGATGTAGTCAATATGCCACCTGCAGTGTATTGCTGCGTCTGTCCTTGTGAATACGGTCAAAATATGGTTCCTGACGCTCGAGGCTTGATGACCAATAATCCTACCCGATCCTTTTTTATGTATCAAGGGCGTCGTTTTGATCAGCAACTATGGTCATGAGCGAGTCTTGGTCCACACACACACCAAAACAATAAAGAATAAAGAGAAGTACAACAAATCCCTAGCAACAATTCCCAAAACTGTTAAAGTAATAAAGCAAGTAATTAAAACTTAGGCGTCGCTGTAACCCATGACGGTCAACGCTGCGTGAAGCAACCTCGACCCCCCTCCCCCAACACCTCTATACCACACCACCGCCCCCACACCACCGACCCCACACGCCACACCACCGCCTCCACACAACCGCCCCCACACCACCGACCCCACACGCCACACCACCGCCTCCACATCCACACAACCCCTGACACCTAAGTTCCTAGTTCTAACCACATACTTCAAACACGCTAAACACAAAACTCCGTAATTACACTTACAGGTATAGCTAATGAGTCCAGGTAGGTTAAGGCAACACCTGTAGCCCTGTACCATACTACGATCACCTGAAGAACGCTGTAACTGTCTTGTATACCTGTGTAACTGAATTAACTCTACTATTGCCTCTATAACTGTATTTTAACTACCTGCATATCCATATTAAAAAGTTATTGGATCTTGGGAGTGACGTAGGTGAATAAGGTAATGACCTCCCCCCACCTCCTCCCTCATCAGACAGATTTCACTCTGCTGAGACAACAGAAATTCTTATACATCTTAAAGTGTGAGTAATAAGAAGAGTTATATTATGTTTTATTTCATGATTAAGACGATACTCGGGGAGAATTACTTCATGTGATCCAGGAGTGGTGGTGTGGTGTGTGGTGGTAGTAGTGTTGGTGATAGTGGTAACAGTAGTAGTGGTGTGTGGTGTATGGTGGTGGTGGTAATAGTGATGGTGATAATGGTAACAGTAGTAGTGATGGTGGTGTATGGTGGTGGTAGTGGTAATAATGATGGCGATAGTAGTAGTAATAGTTGTCATGGTAGTTGTGGTGGTGGTAATAGTGGTGATGATAGTCCTAATAATAGCAGTGGTGGTAGTGGTGGTGATGGCATTAATGGTGGTAATGGTGGTGGTGGTGGTAATGATGGTAACAATGGTAATAGTGGTAACAGTGATGATAAAACACAACACAGGAGTTCGCTAGGCAGTAAAGCAGCCAACTCTCAGTCGCTTGATGGCATTACCTGTAGCATGACCTTTAAATAATCTAAACAAAAAGGTATGCGACCCACAGCCACCTGACGTGAATGTTTTGAAGGTGAACGGTTCGCAGCGCTTACCACCTCCAATCAGAACACGGAGAAAGAAATTGGTAAAATAAAAAAAAATAAAAATAAAAAAAACACGAGAAATCCAATCAAGGTGGATATCCCTGGGAAAAAATATAGACGTAAGAAATAAAATAAACTACGGAAAAATATATAAACCTTTCCAAAGAAAAGGTCATTTATATAAGTCAGTAACGAAAAGAAATTCTTCAAAAACAGCCAAGAGCGTTATGATATTCACCCGAAGCAGCTAATAATATCACGTACTGGAGATACTGTGCGTCAGATGTGGTCACTTTAAACGGTGTGTTGCGAAGGTCAAATGGAGTTCATCAGCCATATGTTATCACCGCCTCTCACTTGTATATTTTGTCACACTGTCACCAGCAACGTCTGTGTGATGTAATCTTAACAAAACAGTCACCGGTGTCTTTGTAGTCCTTGCTGTAACGTTATTTTCAGTCACGAGGTATAATTCCTTTCGCTAATCAAACACTTGAGGATCTTGTCTCTCTAGTGAGTCCGACTTTAGACGCTCTACCCAAAGGAAGAGCACACACTAGTCCAAAGCACAAAGCACGCTAGTCCAAAGTCCAAAGCACAAAATATGTCTACTAACTGTCGAATATTATTATTATTATTATTATCAACGTTATTATTATTATTATTACACAGGTGTGGTGGCCTCAGCATCTGGTAGCATGGACTCCATCTGGCCAATGTGACGGTTCACGCGTTGACAAACCACTCGGGAAACTTGAGTTAAAAATCATCCAGAAAGAGTGAGACACCCAAATAGTTTTTTAATGACTAAGTTTGGTGAATCGTTTAGATATATTCATTGACAGATAGATAGGGACAAATAGACAGACAGAGGCCGGATGTACTAGATAATTGGCTTCCTCGGTGTATTCCGCTATCTGTAAACGAACTTATAATAGAATATTCTACTTCCTGTGTGTTCCATTGCTCTCATAATAAAAATAAGACATAATTATTGTAACTGGTTTTGTTAGTTACTTTGGAAATATTTGTTTACTACAGCACTTAATCCCGGCACTTATGCCCGGCCCCTACCACAGAACTTATTCCTGGTATTTTACCACAGCACTAACCACAACAATTTAAACCAACATGTTCATTACTCTTTATTAATTAATTATTGTATTTTTTTTAAAGAAACATACAAGAATAAAATATATCTTTTCATAACAGTGACATAAGAAAAAAGGAAACTTAATCACTAACTGGTAGACAAATGGAGTGCTTTTGAATATAAGCATGGAAGCTGTTAGTGACATTATGGATAGTCTATAATAGTGATGTAATTCGAAAGGGATAGACCAGAGAAGAAGAAAAGTGGAGCAGACGATTAACACCAGAAGGAGTTGTTCAATTTCATTTTTTTCCACAATGTTCTTTGGATGATACAAGTAATAAAAACAATACGACAATGCACAGAACCTGACCTAAACAAAGAAACCTACCTAACCTAACCTTTTAGAATTTACTGCTGAAACTATCTTTCTTCGTACCATCCATTAGTCATCAATAAAGTTATTGATTTTTCGTTGATACACTTTCTTTTTCAACATACTGTGCAACATTACCTACTACTGAATGTTATCTATTGCTGGCCGTCTTCCCATTGCACAGTTGGTGGCCGTTTTCTTTTACTTCAGTATGTTCCCTGTAGAAGAAACTGCTGAGGCGACCACACACACAACTCATCTGACATCATCATATTCATACCAGTAACCACTGAGCTAAAACTGTATCATTTATTTTTTTATCTAAGTATTTTTCTCTTTTTGAAAAGTCAAAATTCCCATCAGCTGTTATTAATGGGGAGGTACGCATAAAAAATCAGTGGCTATTTGTCTGGACACGGGCCTTTCCTGACTTCCGCTAGTTGTCCGGCATTCGTTGTTTGGCTGAGGGTGATATTAGAATCTAGGGTGTTATCATAATACACTTCCCACATGTCCCGGGCCTGACCCCAGGACACAGAGCGAGAGGTGCACGTGTACTACCAACCCGAGACCAATGTGTTTTGCCATGGGGGTGTTATCTTCCCCTTATGAAAAGGTAACACCTCTCTTATCGTGTTGGATTTACTGATTGCTGTAGCGACAAAATTAAGTTGGACACTTGGTAAGGGTCCTGTAGTCACTGTTAGGTTAGGTTAATTAGATTGGGTTAGGTTAGGATTGATTAGGTTTGGTTGTGTCAGGTTAGGTAGGTTGCGATAGGTTTGTTTGGGTCAGGTTAGTTTAGTTAGAGTTAGGTTTGATTAAGTAAAGTTACAGTAAGTTAGATTAACCTAATCTAATAGTAATTATATATATATATAATAATAATAATAATAATAATAATAATAATAATAAAATCATTCCCTAACTATGGATTTCAATAAACAAAAACGTTTCTCGGATATTGTACACAGGAAGCTTGTGGGGGAAACTGGTGACCTTGAGACAAGGTGAATTAGGTGATTAACTGGTGACTCACTCCGTCCGGCACACCGCTGGGAGGCAAGGATGCCTGAGATCCTTGACAGCCTTTAATAAGATTCAGGATTTTCTATCCATTCGTTCTCGCTCTGGTCCAATAATAAACTAAAGCCTAAGTAAAGTGTCCATTTGTATGGCAAAGTGATTAAGTGCAACGTTCCGGAAATTGTGCAGTTGCCACATTTCGTATTTTGTGCAAATTAAGATGAAATAGTTTAACCAATGAATAATAGTTTTTCATCGTTTTTGTGGGATTATATAAAGATTTTGCAATGCATTAACGCGTGAAAGGGCAAAATAACAAGGAAATGTGGGAATTTGTATGGTGTATTTTCTAAGAAATTACGTAATTTTGATCTCAGTGTGACCTGTATTGGTGAAACAAAACTTTATTACATCTTCCTCCTAAGTGAATGGATTATACATAAGACCACCGTATCAAGTGGCTCCAAACACAATCCACTTTTGGCATTGTTCAGTTTTATTGTCTAGTATCAGGTAATAATCAAATAATGCACTAAGTAACCCATTGGGAAACGTCTGCATGTCAATACAAAATAGGTGGTATGTTAATAATCATTCTTAAAAGCTGACAACAGTTAAAATGTGAAATTAAATGGGATGGGGACTGAGAATGTTATAATGTTGGCAGCAGTGTGGAGTAGTAGAGTGAGAGAGGGAGATGTTGGCAACCCTGAGTGGGTGAGTAGTGAAGAACAACAGTGTGCTGTACCTCTGCCTCACTCTCACACACACTACTGCTACGTCTACTACAAGGTAAATCATGCCTCTTTTATGCTACTAGCTTTGTGATGTAGGTACTGACGGTGTGACTGTAGTGGTGTATTACTCCTGTTGTGTTGTCAGTGAAGTGTATATTTTTTTTTCCACTCATGGTTTCCTCCTGTGGTAAGTTACGACACATATTTTTGCGTCTTGGCCACCGCCCAGGAATCACTCATATTAGTCGAAGGTAATACCATGTTTCCTATTTGATGTATATTATGTATGACATTCTCTCAAGATCGCTACATAGTTTAATTGTCATAATCTATCAGGTCGTCGTAATTAGCAAGTGGAATAAAGCTGTCAAATTTGGGTTGATTGTTTCAAATGTCATTCACCGTGACAGATGACATGTCAGTAAAGAATGTTTTAGGATAACATACAAGCTAACATGATGCACAGTGGTACAGTTAAATGCAACAAGAAAAGAGAAAGTGAAAGTAGTTTATTGAACTTTACAGACTAAACCAGTACCGTAGCTGCCTCTGGAGCTCTGGTGAATGTCCGTCTCTGGATATTTGGTGCACCAATACTTGTACCGTACTTTACAACTGTGGTATCTCTAAATTGGTAATATTTGGGATATTGTTTATAGCATATTTTTTTTTTTTACTATTACTTAATTTTTATCAATGTTGCACCACATGAATCTAATCTCAAATTACTATTATTGCTCCCAACACCAGAACCAGTTCCAGTACAGTACAGTATATGCATTTGAATATCTACATTTTTCTTTTACTTAAAAGATTTTTACACAAGAAAAGTTATTTTTGCTTCTAGTGTACTGGCCGAATGGCTAGTAAGCTGATGTGGCAAAATGATAAAATAAAAATACAGTATCTGAAACCACTTGATTGATATAAACTTTGTTCTTTATGCCACTGTCAACATCCTTCAACTATTTGGCAGTTTAATAGATCATAACAACTACCTAAATCTGATTGTAGCAGGAATGGACCCACTAGATGGCAAAATAGTTGTCCCGAGTTATATTTCAGAAAACTACTACAGTACGTACAGTACATACTGGGCAAACTGGTTTTACCTTTGCTTCCCCACTGGATCTGCATTATGTACAGGTATAACTACATTTGTGTCCAAATGGCTAGTAAGCTGATAAAGTGGTGGTATTAGCAAATTGATTTATATTACCAACCACACATGATCACCTACAATACATTAAAGTGAAACAGAACCTCACCTGGGTATTACCTCTGTACGGTGACCCTTAAAAAAAAAAAAAAAAAACAACACCACCAGTTCACCCCAAACCAACAATTATACAGATTTATTCACACAACCAGAGCTGAAACACAACTGTCACGAAATTGCAGGGTGTACTTTTATGAATTGTGTTTTGGAAGTACAGTACTGTATAAGCGTTTGTTCAGCGTTAACGTTGCTTTTTTCTTTGGTTGTGTAGTGTGTGTGTGTATGTGTGAAAGGTCCCATTGATGTCGGTCACAAAAAAAATAAATAAATAAATAAATAAATGTGAAAGAGGCCTTACGCTATCCGGAGTTCCAAACTCTGTGCCTCTTCATAAGCTATTTTATCCAAACTTTGTTATAAATTAGAATTTCAGGATCAGTCCCAGATTTATGGACAAGAGTCCATAACGTAGTGACGAAAATCCTCCCTCTGTCTAATGCTTACAGAAGTTAGGTGGAGGTGAGCGAGTTATCCTGAAATCCATCTTAAGATGGGCTTAATGAGTCACATGCAAGTGTAATGTAATTATTTACTTGCCTCCAGCCTTATATTATAAAATTAGTCCTAACCATGCCATTGGAAATTATGGTTGGCTTATGATCAGTTCTGTATTTATAAAGATAAGATAGTTCCTTCATGTAGTAAATTTATTAGCTAACATTATCTTATCTGGCAGTTATTTACACTTTACTGTGTGTTATGGGGAGATACTTGTGTACAGTATAAGTATAATATAACTTATTCATTAGTTAACTGGCTGTAGATGCACTATATTCTAGGAAACCAAATATACTGTACAGTATATGGGAAATACATTACCAGTATACAGTACTTGTATGTTTGCAAAGTTAAATGGTTTTAGGGTCATGTAATCATGATTTTTTTGTCAGTTTTTACTTGTAATTTGGCTGTATTTTTATTAACACAGGATATTTTTCCACAGGTGTCACCTGACAGTAGGTGTTGGAACTGTGACTTGCTGATGTCGTAGTTGTGAGACGCCCACACTTCTGGTTGCCTGCATGCTCTTGTGTAGTACTGTACTGTACACTGTTTGGAAATCACTACTACTCTAAGGACACAGAAAGCACCAGTATTATTCTAACATTAAAATGGCAATGTTAAGGGGATATCTGTATGTGGACCTAATTGAGGCAGAAAATCTGCCAGACTGTGATACTGCTTTCTTCAACATTGACCCAAAGGACACTTCAGATTCATTTGCTCAGATTAAGTTAGGAACCTGTGTCATTTGCAAGACAGCTGTTATCAACAATGATTTATCACCTAAGTGGCAGGAATCACATAGGATTCCTGTATGTCACCTTTCAGATGAATTGCAGATTCAAGTTCTAGACAAGGATCATTTTAGTGCTGGAGTATTAGGGGAAGTCAGCATCAGGCCAGATGACCTTATGGATGGGGAGACTCTAGAGGGATGGTACCCACTGTCTGGTTGTGATGGTCGCATCAATATAAGGATGAATTATGTTCCTAAAGAGCAGATTGATGCAACATTTGAGGTACCCGATTGTTACTTTTCATTACGAGAAGGTTGTAAGGTTACACTGTATCAGGATGCTCACTGCCCACCTCTTCCAATCTTTGAGAGTGTTCCCACAGCCAGTGGTGAAGTTTTTGATGCTCCTTGTGCCTGGATTGATCTGTATAAGGCATTGAATGGTGCTCAACGATTTATTTATGTTACCGGGTGGAGTATATACACTGAAACAGTCTTGGTTAGAGGTGACTGTGACTGTGAAGAGGAAGGTAAAGGAGAAACTTTTGGTGAACTTCTGAAAAGGAAGGCAGAGGAAGGTGTACGTGTGCTGGTGTTGGTGTGGAATGAGAAGATGAGCACTGATATAACAGCTGGCTTTATGGGCACCCACGATGAAGACACACGGGTATATTTTGAAGATTCTGATGTTGAAGTTGCTGTTGTCCCTAGAATACGTTCTTTAGAAGGAATGGCATCTTTCTTTCAAGACCAATTTTCTCAGACATGTTACACACACCATCAAAAAACAATTATTCATGACTGCCCTCTTGCAGATGGTGAAGATCTACCAAGAATTCAAGCTTTTGTTGGGGGTCTTGATATTACTGATGGTCGATATGACACCCCACAACATGAGCTTTTCAAAACTCTTCAAACTCTTCATGTAGGAGATTTTTACAATGGTCTCACAACCACCACACCTGAGGTTGGTCCTCGTCAACCCTGGCATGATATTCACTCTCGTCTGGAGGGTCCCATAGCTTTGGATGTTCTTGCAAACTTTACTGAGCGGTGGAGGAACCAGGTGCGAGATAGAGAAGCTCGCCTCCTCCCGCTACCAGAGGACGAATTTATATTAGATGCTCCAGTGCCATGTGATGAAGAGGCAATGTGGAGTGCTCAGATTTTCCGGTCCATTACATCTGACTCTGCTCTCTTTAACTTCGATAAGATTTCGGCTATTCCCAGGAGAAAAGGAAAGTACGTTGACGACAGCATACATAGAGCGTACATTCATCAAATACGTCGTGCAGATAGTTTCCTCTTCATTGAAAACCAATACTTCCTTGGATCAGCCTACAACTGGGATGATGAACAGAGTACCAAAGCTCACCATTTGATTCCACTGGAAATTACTCAGCGTATTATAGAGAAGATGAATGCCGGAGAATATTTAGCAGTTTATATTATTGTACCAATGTTTCCTGAAGGAGACCCCACAAGTGGACCTGTCCAAGAAATTCTTCATTGGCAGCACCGCACTATGCAGATGATGTATCATGCGATAGCTCAGGCTATTGAAGCCAATGAACTTGACACTCATCCAAAAGACTATCTATCGTTCTTCTGTCTCGGAAAAGGTGAATGTCCCGAAGAAATCCCCGAAGACTTGCCTTCTCCAGATCCAGACACCCCAGCACAAGTTCTTCGGGAAAAAGCTAGACTTATGATTTACGTACACTCTAAAATGATGATTGTTGATGATGACTATATTATCGTGGGCTCTGCAAACATCAACCAGAGAAGCATGGGTGGCACTCGAGACTCGGAGATAGCAGTGGGAGCCTTTCAGCCACTACACACTCGGGAAGTGAGTGGAGAAGCTCGTGGCTCAGTTTTTGAGTTTAGGATGGCACTTTGGGCAGAGCACCTTGGAGGTGTTGTTGAAACACACATGAACCCAGGTTCACTTGAGTGTATGCGAGCTGTAAATGAAATGGCAGAAGGCAATTGGGCTGCCTATGCCACTGAGGAGCCTTGTAAAGTTGATGGACACTTGTTGCGATATCCAGTGGAAGTGGATCAGGATGGAACTGTCACTGCCATTGAAGGTTTAGAAAATTTCCCAGATACTGAAGCTCCTGTTCTTGGAGCTACGAATTTCTTGCCAAATAAACTAACAACTTAAGTTTGTTTGGACCCAATGGTCACGTCACTGCTGCAGAATAAACAAATAAAAATTGAAAAGGAATCTCAAACAAAAGTGTCTTGTAATCTTTGTACCATACACTATATACAAGACATGTAGGGTACAGGATATAATTTTTTATCTAATTATTTTTGGGATATTATAAGCAAATGATCGAGCCTTTAGATATACCTTTATGTATGTTATCTGTGTACAGTACATAAAGTATTATGTTACTGTACTGTAATTTGAGTGAAATGGGAACAGCACCTCTCAGTACTACAACTGTACATGTTTCAGGGAACAAAACTGCAAGTTGCATTTTTTGGAGTCGCATAATAAGATTATACAGAGATCTACCATATTTTATAATACTTAACAGTAGTGGAGGACATTAGACCAAATGTTATAAATATGTTCTTGGTTATAATGTTTATTTAAATAATTGTCATGACTTGGTGTAACAGTGTGCTGTATGAATCGTGAAGTATTATCAATTCAGAAAAGGATTCCTTGAATTGCATCTTAGTTATAACATAGCCAAAGATATATGTAATGTTAGGTAACTGTTGTGATGTTAACCTTGAGTCTTTTGTAGAAATTTCCTGTATTTGAGCAGTTTCTTGTGATGTTCAGAGCTAGATGCATTTCAGAAACTTGTGCAGGTTACAAAATGGAAGACAGCTTGGTTCTAGTTAGCTTTTCTTGTATTGTAATATACAGTATTTATTTTAATGATGAAACTGTTTAATTTAACTCATTTAAAACATTTTTAAGTGGGAATTGTTTATAAACTATCCTGTACAATATAACACTAGCACACACGCTACTTCTCATATCATATTTCTTGTGTAATATTGAATCTGGCACTGCTTTACTTTTGACAATAACATTATAAACAAATTTAAATTCGGCAGCTCAAGATACATACCACTGAGAGTTTTGACCCACTCCAAGTGGCTGATATTAATTACTTATATTTCTTGAATTTGTTTTTACATAGATGTGAATAGTACTGTACACTAGCCATCTGTTTACCTACTCAGACTCTCAAGACACCAAGCGGCTACAAGAGTTTTGTATTTCCTGTAACTTATACTCTTTAACAGATGTCTTATACAGTGAAGCCTCCATATAACAAATTTCTCTTTCCATATAAATCCATTAGATGAGACGGGGAGGGGGGGGGGTGTCACATCTAATGGACCCTCGATATAATGGAATTTCATCTTGATATACAGTAGTCCGTTAATTAGAGGTTTCACTGGACTGTACAGCTAAATACTCCTGTGATGTCAAGCTTTAAGGATTATTAGTTATTATCATTGTTTTGGCTCATAGACATATTGAGGAACCCAAAACTATCATGCGAGACACTTCTTCAGGTCTTATTGATATAGTGTGTTTTAAGGTTTATGGAAGAGACATTTTCTATAGTTTATATTGGGAGTGCTTCTTTGTCTGGTGTTATTGGCATTATGTTCTTAACTTGGAAAAAAAAATAAGTGCTTAATATTGTATCACTTTCTTACCTCCCAATAATGAGTAAATTTCAGTTGAACACCCCATCATGCCATTTGGAATTGGCCAAATGTGAATTTTTTTTGCTATGAAAATTTTTCATTGATACGTGCAGTATTGGTGTTTTTAGTAGTTCAAAGTAATATCCAAGGTATAGTAACTTGATTATAACTACCATGAGATTATTGAGGGATATGGGGAGGAGAGGAGAAGCAGGTGGAGGGCAAGAATAACATGGGGAGAGCTGTCATGAAGTAACCACAGCTAACCCATGCAAGCGTGGAAAATGGCAATAAAGAGATGATGATGATGAGGGAAGTTTGACATTAATCGCTATCATTAAATACTGTAACTGGACCTTGATAGAACGAGAGCAAATACTGTAACACCATTGTCAGTGAGATCATTTACGTGTTGTAGTTTTGTATCCTATCAGCGACGTTTGCTCTCAAGAAGTGTCGGGTAACAACAGTGTAAATATTATGATTAAGGTTGTGGGGAAATGCTTAGGAATTGCAGAATGCACAACATATTTCCCTGGACACCACTGTTACACACTAAAGCTGCCATACAGTATAGGTTTCATCATCGTACAACATTATTTCATATGCCACTGTGTTTTGCCCAATGCCCACACACGGACCTTTACACTCACTGCCTAAAAATAGACCATATTCATTATTCTGTTTGGTGGAATAAGACAATAATACATAACTGTACAAAGTATCGGAAAACATCACTTTTACAAAAAAAAAAAATGCATTTGGGTATAGTCGTTATACTCCTAAGTTTATAATTACTTTAGCATCATATTTCTCTCTCCATATAGTCCGTTGATGGGAGTTTTCATGTATAACAGACCCTCCATAGAACAGACTTTCATTTCTTTATACCCCCTGTAGTTCATTAGATGGAGGTTTCATATATGGTAGACTTTCCTCTCCATATAGTTTATTAAATAGGTTTACTTTACTACATTAAAAGGCATCCCAGTCATTCTGTTGAGTTCATTCACACTTTTCACTCCTGAACAGAAGAGAGTTGAACATTTAGTACCGTAGTGTTCCTGCACATAATAAGGAAGAAACACAGTAGTTGTAACTCCATATTAATATTTACTGTATCATAGGTTTTGTCTGGAGACTATAGTTCATCATCCATATTCCTCTAGTTTAAAAACCTAACTACAACTAAACTTACTTAATTGCACAAATCCTAATATTTACATCATCATCTTTCTTGAAACCTTTCGTATTCACTTATCAGGGTCTCCTCTTTTTTTATTTTCATATTTAGACTTTCTAATATACAGTACACAGATAATGTGCCAAAATCCTAACCTGAGAGGCGAGGCAGATCTCAAGAGCATGGAATGATTGCTCCTCTGTGTGCTGCTGGCCACACTTACAAACTAGACATTTCCTATTGATAGACCCACAAATGTGTTCGAACTCTGGGATGGTAATGTCGGTCTCTGTTCTGACATGTTCTTTTTATATTTGTGGAGAATGTGAACTCATAGTAAAAATAGGTAAAGTTCATGTTTGAAGATGTAACTGGTGCAGTGTTGTAGGCATACAGTATTTATAAATGTAGAAAGATTGCTGTATTACTCGGTGACAACTGTTTGTTATTTTACTCCAAGATAATGGATTTTTCTATGTCATTAATAGATTTGTATAGTGAAAAACAACCAGTGCTGAAGTATTTGTTATGGTAGATTCCACCACCCATTTTAAGAGCTGCTAAAGTATTCCTGTAATAAACTTATATACCTCTGTACACTTAAGCTATTCATCAGAACATTCCACCATTGTCATACTTGAATCATGACTTTCTACTTCTCAAAATAGTACAGGATTCATATATTTACATAATTTTTTCTACTTTTGATGATACTCATATACCATCTGTGAATGTTAGGGGAAGTTTTTTGGGTGTTAATATTCTATAGGGCAAGAACTGCAAATATTTTATCATAGAGTATTGTGTGTAAATGTTGTAATGGACAGATACAGAGCTTTACAACTTAAAAAATGTTAGTAAGGTAATGGTTTTCTGCAGCATTACATTTAGAAGTTTTAGAATCATTTTTTTAAATGTCATCGTTGCTATATACAATATGAATAAACCAGCCGTACCTGTTGTGTAGCAAAGGCCTATTTAATATAGATAGAAATGATACTGTATAAGATTTTCTGTGTCTTAATAATTGTGCATGATCTGGTTAACTTATATGTGATTTGCTAGTGCCTTGCCAAAAATTTTACTTTAAAGCAATTGGCTTGATGTTCTTGGTCAGTATAGGAAGCTTTGATATTTTGCATGTTTAATGTTGTGACATTTGTACTACAGTACTACTTCATTTATAGCTTTCTGTGGCCCGGTCAATTTGTCTTGGTGCATGATCATGTCTTCCTTGTATTTATATTAGTTGGCTAAGTTTGACTAAGATAATGTAGCATGTTGTTAAGTTTTGTGGGAATCTTGTGATGTTTATAAACATTATTTTTAGCAAGAAATTGGACTTTGTCATAATCCTTTATATTTTTTGTGCATGAAATTTTAAGTTATTGTACGAAACGTGAAATAAATAACTAAAATTTACAATGGACTGTTGTGTTATGGAGCTGTCAAAAGAAAACTAAAATATGTGGTTGCATTTCAAATCTGGGGAACAGAAACTTAGACATGTTAATGAAGAGTACTGTTGGGTGAACAATCATTACAGTACAGAGTAATTCCCAAGAGTAAGTACTGTACCCTGGCATAGAATAGTAATATGAGAGTACAATTGGTACAGTACTATAGAACTACTGTACTTGTACATCCCTTATTCATCACTAAAGGAATTTTCTTGATAATTGCCATGCACTTGTTATGGTTGTTACTGTACAATGAATATTTGGTTAAGTTTTACTAGATATTTACAAAACTAAACTGTCCTTAATATCGTGTTGTTTTAAAGTCCATAAATTAAAGAAAGGTTTGCAATTACTGTAGTACCTGTACATTATTAGTAAAGGGACACGAGGCAGTAGCTATTGTTACTGGGATTACACTCCCAAGTAAGGAGTTCAGATGGGTTTTATCAGAACAATTGATTGACTTATAATGGTATCAAGCCGCCTTATTTATTATGCTAAAATTGCAACCCACTTATAGCTGATGACGAAAACCACGAGCATTGTACTGTATACAGAGCTTCACTGCTACATTACAACGGTGTGAACTTTCAAATATGGATAAACACATTTCTACCAATCATTATCTATGCTTTGGATGAATATGCTGTCTTCAAGTTCTGATTATAAGTTACATCCAGACATTAAACACCAGAATTCATACTGTCTGCTGTATGATAAAAAAAAGTATTTAATTTTGATCATTTACAATGACACCTTCGAAAAAGCTTGTTGGGGCAAAACTTGGATTAATGAACCATTATAGTACAACACTTGAAGCTTTGCATGCCCTGTTGCCTTCTGCACCCATACAGTACACGCTTGTAATTACCGCCATAGGTTTAGTCATAAATTCACACGCGCCTGCCAGCTTGTTATGTTTGAGTTCAGGTTTAAAATGTGTCGATAAAATGAGTTACATTACTGTGTATTTGTCCAGATAAAGAAAGGAAACGAGTAAGTAACGATGTGGCGAGTTATGTAGACCAATTCTGTAATGTACAATGTTTTTTGTTGTCTGAATTATTATAAAGTTCCTGAATAGTTCTCTCATTCATCCTTCACTGTACAGAGGAAAATTCTAACCATGAGGAAATTGCTGCTTGGAAATCGTTCAAAGCACAGTAGATGATATGAACTTGGATTATGAAAGGTATTGAGGGCTATTATTGAATAGATTCTGGCTTGTAACATAATACTCGGGATGTGAAAAGAGTTTACAGTTTTCAGATAACTTTACTCAGAAATTATCTAAGCTATCATTCCCTCGTGACCAAAACAACACCCAGAGTTAGTCCACCGACTTTACGTCTTCCTAGCTGCATTGAATGACATCACTGAGCTCGTCGTGATACTTCAAGTGTTTTACACCTTACGCCGCCTGATAAGATGGAAGCTTACTTCAGTTCCGCCCCATAATTTAAAGCCAATTCGTATTATTGTAATTAAAATAATGGTTTTGATATTCTAATCTTGGATATATGAATATCAATATTGCAGCTGCTGCTGCTACTATTAACAATAATGAAGTGTGGTGGAGTTATGTATTGAACCACCAGATTATTATACCTAACTAAAAGTGGCGTTGGAGAAATTGTGATTCCGTGTACACCAAAGTAAAGGAGAGAAGTTATGAAACGACCCAAATAAATGTATTTATAAGATTTAATGTTAGAGATAAAGTGATAAGGGGTGGTGAGTAAATTATGAGGGGATATACAGAGGCTGAAATTGATAAAGTTGTGTGCTGAGAGAGCGAGAACTGTTAGTTAGGGAGCAATAAGAAGCGAGGTTACAAAAGTTGTTGGATGCTATAAAAATAAATAATTGAAGTACTTTTAACCACTTTATGTACGGGTTCCCTTAGAGCTGAATAAATTCTTGAAGGCAAAAGACAGATGAAAAAGTGTGAAGCAACGTTGTCCAAATATTCTAAAGAGAAGCAGAAGCTACTGAAAAGAATTAAATATAATAAGAAAGACAAAGAATATAAAAGAAAGGCAGAAAGAATGTGACGACAAAGTATTGTAGGAAAAGAAAACGAACGTCGGATGAGAAAATTTGAAGAAACTATTGAATAAGACGATTGAAATGAATGAATAAAAGCTAGTGACGGGGGGGAAAGAGGTTCAGGAGAAGAAGATTGAAAGACAGACAAACATTTATCATGCTTGAGACAGGGAGAAGTGTGAAGTGTCATGGTGAATTAGGAAATGTGATTAAGTGAGAGAGAAGCTGTAACCAAGCTTAAACTAACTCCAAACTTACTCGGACCAAGAATTAACTGATATCATTTCACATCTATAATGATTTATTCAAAACATGCGAAAGAATCATTCAACATATATAGTAGCATGTGTGTATATGGGGCATGCCCTTACAATGACCTAGTTAAAAATCTTCCTTAATCCACTCACCATACAATGAACACTGAACAAACTACAATACAAACTTCTATGGTGAAACCTCTGAGGTATTCTACCAAGAGCCTTATCCACCATCCACTACCATGAGCACCAGGTATGTGTTTGAACTTGGCGCTCTCCGATGCAGACTCTCGGCTAAATATATGACACAGCCACTCACAGTCTTCCTGCTCCCCGCCCGGGCTCAACACGGCGGAAGAGAGGTACCTTGGTGTGGCTACTATTGATGTCCTTAAACCTTGTGTTCCCCATTGCTTTGTGGCTCCTGTGTGTTTGTGAAGGACTGTGGGTGAAGGTTATAGACGTAGAAACAGAGACAGTCAACTGCCATGAAAAATCCTGTGTATATTTGGGACCGGTGTAAAAACCTAAGATGGGTCTTCTCCCTTGGTACGTTTTTAGAAGAAATTACTGTGCTATAATAGAAAGCATAAAAACAGCACGATGAAAAATAATTATAAAAAATAATGGCTTTAACCCAACACAGAGAAAATTTTATTCCCCAAAGAAATGTGTACGAAAACTGTTGAAACAACGATCAGTGGAATAGGGGACACGTCAGTATGCAGGGGGCGGGTAGCTGCAGCAGCCTCCCCCCCCAGAACATGGAAACACTGTTCTATTTGTCTTGGACTATCTTTGCCACTCAAATTATTCATGTTGTTGTGCTTACGGTGTAAATTATATTTCATTGGATGTGATTGTAATGTTTGTTCAATGCCCGTAGCCGTAGTGGGTAAGCGAGGTTTTGCTAGCTGTACAACGTCACTTATACGTCACTGTTTACTACGACGAGTGACGTAACACGTTCATGGACACGGAAAGTTGCCATTGACCTTGAACTCATTTGTTAACATCAACACTAATATAGAGTGTAATAAAGAATCATTCCTGCTTACATTATATTTTTATATAAGTATACCGGGCATATGCTATGTTTACTGTTCAACTTAACGTCACGTTAGGTAAATGCAAATGTAAAGAGCTAGTTGGAAGGAGGTGAGGTAGAAATAGCTGTTAATGAGGACGCGGGTGAGGTGTGTGGGAACTACAGAGGATGTTCAGCTGTAGGTAATGATCATCTTCGACTCTTATGCTACATTATTATAGCGTGCGCTTTTAACAACATTGTTTTCCCTGCTGTATATATTCACTCACACACTCATTATATCTCTCTATATGTATATTGCGATTATTTACTTTCTAGCGGAGACGGAGTTAAATAAGAGGAACGGAGTGTAGGTTATAAAAAATTCGTGGCGTTTTCTTTATCCAATCAATGTACTGTACAGTGAAAAGAATTCCATACGTCTGACGGTGTATTAGAGAGTGTGGGTGGAGCACATTTATGGTGCATCGTCACACAGGCTTCACCTTAAGCTAGATATCTGACTTGAACTTTGAGTATCGGTGAAAAAAAAAGTGATAAACAGCTTTTTGTTAGTTTCCTAATCACCCCCCCCCCCCTCTCTCGCTGAAAGGGAAATTATCGTACCAGTTGGTGTGCGTGTGGTCAAGGCTCGAATAGTACCTTGCCCAGAAGAGGGTGACCTCGTGGCCTGGAGGATGACTGAAGGTAACAAGTCGTGTAGTGTTGCTGTTAGACTACCACCTGTACACGTCGCGCTATATAGTTCCCTACCAAACGAAATCCTGTTACCATTATAATGAAGTGGACAAAACCCCACCAGTTACAATACTCCGATGGGCTTTAAGTTAGGTTACGTGGCGTTGGACTTGGCTAGTTAAGCTACATTAGGTTAAGTTTAGGCTAGGCTACATTCTCTTGGGTAACCTGTTTATAGATTTATACCTATCAGTCATCAGATGGGGTAGGGCAGGGTGTTGTTACCTGACTCTAAATAAGAATATTACACTACAAAGGTCACGGAGTGAAATTTACATAATAACATTGCGACCGGAAATAATGCGTTATCTCTTACGAAACTACGGAAAATAAGTGTGGGAAGGGAAGCCTTATGAGTTAACGTAAGAGATACAGTACGTGGTAATATATTTGGGAAAATTATCAAGTGTGCGTGACAGTTTTCATAAACGTGTGGGTAGTGTACAGTACGTGGTACGTGGTAGCAGTGCTTATTAACACTTGGGGCGCCACATCTGCCGTCACCCACACCTGTGAGATGTGTTAATCTGCCAATCCACCCTCCCCCACCTCCACTTGTTAGTAAATACATGCGTTATACTCACATCAGATGAGATCGTTAGTTGATCTTGAGCTTTTCTTAATATACCAACAACATAACGTAAGTTGCCAGAAGATAATTGTTTAGGCAAGACGTCCTATCAGGAATAAATTGTTAGGTAAATTTCCTAAATAATCCAGCATCATGTTTTCCACTGCTTTCCATTTTTATTCATAATTTTTATATCGTTTTTTTTTTCATAAATCAGATGTTGTATCAAATTATTCACTAGGAAGAAAATGTGGAGTAAACATTTTTCTGCAACGTAACAAATTTACGAGTTGGATAATATGGAATGTACTGTACTTTACCTGCACTTTAAGTCTTTAACACGGGGTTCAGTTTCAAGATGAGCAACATTTACCGTTCTTAAGCGTCAAGAGCGGTTAGGGACGTCAATCGGGAGCAATAATTACTCTGGCAACAATTCACTGCTGCTGTCGAAAATATCCCAGCTAAAATCATTCCCTGTATACTATACTGAATGTAACCTCGCTGACAGAAGCCACTCTTAGTTACCTTGAGCACAACGGTATTTATTTCCTGGTTCAAGCACTGTTGGAGTTGTCAGACAGAGAGCTCGTAAACACACTCAGTGGACGTCCCCATTAATGACGTTATGTATTTATTGCGTAATTTTCTATGTACAGTATTATTGAGGTAACTGGTGTGTTTTTCCAAGGTATATACATAATGAAATGGGAATAGGAGTTGGTATATATATATATCGCCACACTCAAGAGAGGTATACAGTTTGTAGTATTTGTAAAGGCAGGACACTCGTAATAAATTCCTGGATATTGTTGGGGTATTGGGTCTAATTAAGACTCTTTATCGACCTCGCGTTTCCTCGTCATCAATGAATATGGCAATCAAAATAAAACACTCGTTACAGTGTTGACAGTGAATCACCTTGTTACAACCAGTGAGTCGGTGGGTGTTACCATTAGAAACCAGAGTGGAGAGTAACACAAAAGACAGAATCTATAGTAACACTCGCATTTAATCCATCTGTGAACATTATACATGTGAAACGGTGGCATAGTGTATGGACTACAGAACGTAGCCCACCCACCTACCCCTACTACCTTGAGACAGACATACCTGTGAATTAGTGAACGATAAGGGGGAGAACACATCGTGGTTTGCGGCCGGTATAAGTTTATCAAGAAGGCCTCCACACAACCACACCATCATGCTCGCCAAACTACGGGGCATGAAGGACACTGTTCAGAGCCACGTACTGGAGCTAGCAGAAACTTACGTCAACAAGGAGGAAGACCCAGGTACTATATAAACTTTCTTCCTTGTATTATTCTTACGGCCGTAGTAAAGTGACCAAAATGTCTTTACTCAAAGGGAAATAATATACCACATACACAAAACACGCTCACATGTGCATATACAGC